CCCCCTAAAGAAATGCCACCCCACACCATTACTGACCCACTGCCAAACCGGTCATGCAGGAGTATGTTGCAGGCAGCAAAACATTCTCCACAGCATTTGTGCTCAGTGTGAACCTGCTTTCATCTGTGAAGAGCACAGGGCACCAGTGGTGAATTTGCCAATCTTGGTTTTCTCTGGCAAATGCCAAAACGTCCTGCACGGTGTTGGGCTGTAAGCACAACCCCCACCCATGGATGTCGGGCCCTCATGGAGTCTGTTTCTGACCGTTTGAGCAGCCACATGCACATTTGTGGCCGGCTGGAGGTCATTTTGCAGGACTCTGGCAGTGCTCCTCCTGTCCCTCCTTGCACAAAGGTGGATGTAGTGGTCCTGATGCTGGGTTGTTGCCCTCCTACGGCCTCCTCCACGTCTCCTGATGTACTGGCCTGTCTCCTGGTAGTGCCTCCATGCTCTGGACACTATGCTGACAGACACAGCAAACCTTCTTGCCACAGCTCACATTGATGTGCCATCCTGGATAGCTCACCTGAGCCACTTGTGTGGGTTGTAGACTCCGTCTCATGCTACCACTAGAGTGAAAGCACCGCTAGCATTCAAAAGTGACCAAACCATCAGCCAGAAAGCATAGGAACTGAGAAGTGGTCTGTGGTCACCACCTGCAGAACCACTCCTTTATTGGGGATGTCTTGCTAACTGCTTACGCTTTCCACCTGTTGTCTATTCCATTTGCACAACAGCATGTGAAATTGATTGTCAATCAGTGTTGCTACCTAAGTGGACAGTTTGATTTCACAGAAGTGTGATTGACTTGGAGTTACATTGTGTTGTTTAAGTGTTCCCTTTATTTTTTTGAGCACTGTATATAACCATTGGATGGATGTATAAGATTAAATCATAATGAAAATTAGGATATCTCGTATAAAATGATGGAAAAATAGTTTAGTCAAATGAATGTTTAATAATTGACATTACATAAGCACAAGCTAGATAAGGTGAGAATTTATATAATTTGTGTGTAATGGTAAAAAAAGGATAGCACAAAAAGTTGTAACCATCTGACACACTGTATGTATATAATTGAAAGAGGGTTTTATGTTTTTATGTTTTGTTTGTATGTTGTAAAAAATAAAAACTTTGTTTTTTAAAAAAAAGACAAGGAATTTAGTGTGGATGAGGTATGTGAACTGAAAAATGTTTTTGAGCTAGATCATAGATGTATATTTCTGCATTGACTGAAAAGAGAAAGATATGAGTTTTGGTTACTGACATTTCTTTCTTTACCAGCCTACTTTCCTTGTGGAACTGTCCAGAGTGCTGGCAAACCCAGGAAACAGCCAAGTTGCAAGAGTTGCAGCTGGTTTGCAGATCAAAAACTCTCTGACATCTAAAGATCCTGATGTAAAGACCCAACACCAACAGAGGTGGCTTGCAATTGATGCCAATGCTCGCAGAGAAGTCAAAAATTATGTATGTTAAACTAAGCATTTCTAGTTCTACTTCCTAGTCCTTATTTATCAGTATGGATGTTTTTCAGTAGTAAATGCATCTACTGGATATCTTTATTTGAATACTGTTTCTTCAATTTACTTTTCTCTTCCTGTTTGTTCCCAAGCTGAGAAAAGTATCTCTTACAACCTCTAAAGCAGGAGTGTCAAACTCAGGGGTGGGGGTGGATCCAGCCCGTAGTGGGCTGGAAAACAGCAAAGGAGCTCTGTTTTCACTGGCAGGTGGGCTGCAGGAGGCTATTGTGGCTGAATATGGAGCACGGGGGGCGTGTATGCCCCCCCACACTCAGTTTTCACTGGCAGAGTGCTAGCAAAACAAACTAAAAACAAAACAAAAGGAGAATGAAGAGGGAAGGAAAAAGAAGGGATGGAAAAGAGATTATAATAAGAGTGAGGGAGGGTCTCAGGGAAGTCCTGCATTAACACTTGGCCACCACAGGTGCCCCCGATACAACTCCCGTGCCACACCTGCCATGGCCACACCCGGCTCTCTGAAGTCAAACACAACCCTGATGTGGCCCTCAATGAAATTGAGTTTGATACCCTTGATCCTAAAGGAAGGGAAGTATGCCTTATTTTAGGAGTCATACAGTTCAATATTATGTTTTTGTTCAACCTCAAAAATTGTACAGGAAGACACAACAGTCCATTGCTTAGTGCTAACAGTGTTGTAGTTTTGTGATTTTGCCTACTGATAAGATGATCATCTTATCTTCACAGGTTTTGCAAACCTTGGGTACAGAAACCTACAGACCCAGCTCAGCATCACAGTGTGTTGCTGGCATCGCCTGTGCAGAGATCCCCATGAATCAATGGCCTGAACTTATTCCTCAGCTAGTAGCCAATGTTACAAATCAACACAGCACAGAGCATATGAAAGAATCGACATTGGAAGCCATTGGCTATATTTGTCAGGATATTGTAAGTGTTGCCTTCAACATACTGTTCAAATGATGCTGCTCTTTCTTCTTGTGCTTGTTATCCGCCTGCTCTCCATGGTCTACTTTGACTCAAACACTCTACAATGGGCTCAATCTCCAATTTTGTTAACACAGTCAGCAGTGCACAATTGTACTGTTCCTAAACATGCTAAATTTTTCTCACAAGATTATAGCTTATTAAAAATTGAGTATTGGAGGCTTGATCTGTCAAGCCAACTGGAGATCCTAGCATTTGTTCTCTTGGAATATAACTGCGTAAGTACTGTTGTTTGAGGGAACAAAGAAAATTAAGTCTTGCAGCTTCAGGCATGAAGCATGTGCAGAACAAAGCCACCAGTTTTTTGCCCAGTTTTTCTATCATTGATTCTACTCTGACTGTAATAAATGCAAATTATTTTCATCAGAAATTGTGCATTTACCCTTGGAAAGAGATTCAAAGATTCTGAAGTATACAGTACTTTGGTAGGTTCCATCTAGCCCGCCTATCTCTGTGCTGGAGGCTGGAACAGAGGACTAAATTCAAATTAGCCCTTGAATTCATCTTTCTGTTCCCAAATAACATGCAGATCCCCAGAAAGTAAAATACTCAGTGACTGACATGAGGTGTGGTGATAAGCCACCTCTATTCTACTTGGAAATGCTTGGGTTTCTTAATTTAGACAACATTCTAGGGTTCTTTTTTGACCTGGTTGTGAATCCAGCGATAGTTTATACAGTATTTTTTTTCAGGATCCAGAACAGCTTCAGGATAAATCCAATGAGATTTTGACCGCCATTATCCAGGGCATGAGGAAAGAAGAGCCAAGTAATAATGTGAAATTAGCGGCTACTAATGCACTCTTGAACTCTTTGGAATTTACCAAAGCAAACTTTGACAAAGAGGTAAGTGGTCACATTTTTGGGGTATGAGGGAAAAAAATGGGTTGAAAAGGAAACCAATGGAATAATAATAAATTCATTGTCTGCGATGAGAAGCCAGGTACCACACTGAGTTCTGATGCACTCCCATTTTGGTTGAGATTTGGATTTGTTTAGAACTTGCTTTGAAAAACTTGCTCTTTTTGTATTTATTCAAGTCAGAATAATAAAAGCAGCAAACATCTAACCATATCTTAAGAGCAGCTGGCCAGCGGGAGATGCGTGTGCATGCGTGGTAGAGCTGAGCTGGGGCAATGGTGCGTGTGGTCACAGGGCTCTGCATGCCACTTGTGGCATGCGTGCCATAGGTTTGCCACCATGGCCCTATACCATTTCAAACAAGTGGCTGTCCAACCTCTTCTTAAAAACCTCCAGTGATGGAGCAACCACAACTTCTGAAGGCAATCCATTCCAGTGGTTAATTGTTCTGTCAGGAAATTTCTCCTTAGTTCTAAGTTGTTTCTCTCCTTGATTAGTTTCCATTCATTGCTTCTTGTCCTGCCTTCTGGTGCTTTGGAAAATAGGTTGACCCCTCTTCTTTGTGGCTATGGTATGATTTTGTAAGCTAACCCTTACAGTTTGGGTCTGGTTTTTTTTTTGTTTTTTTTTTTGCAGCTGTTCTTATTGGTTGTTTGAATACCATTTAGGTTTGCATGCAGAATAAGCTCATTTTTGTCTACCTCAGAGCCAATTGTGTCCCCACCTCTTAGGACACATGAAATTTCTTCCAAGCATCGAAAATGTGATTGTTCAAGGCAGAAGTGGTGGGGTGGGATAAGTGCTTGAACAATTGGGGAAGCGGGGAATGGTGAAATATGCTGCGCTGATGTATAGGCATGTTTACTGAAGTAAGGCAAGGTATGGAAAGTTCTGGGAAGTTGGCACAAGAAGATCAACAGTGTGGAGGAAGAGGGAAGAGCGAGCGAGCAGTGCTCATCAACCTTACCCTACTCACCCCATAAATACACTCTGGAATTTCTTCAGATTTTGTTTCCTCAAAATCCAGAACAACTAAAATATTTGCTTTTGGTTTGAAACAAACCATCAGTTTGTGCACATTCCTATTTAATGAAATGTTCCATTTTCTGCTATAGGGAACAAAACTTGATATCTGTTAAGTTTTTTGTTCCTTTGTTTTTCATCATAGGATGAAACAGTTAAGCACATTTTTTGTAGCCAGAACCTGATGTGCCTGTATGAACAAAATGTATGCAATGGCTTTATTTCAAGGTTACCATCAACAGCATAATTGCAAAAATACTTTTTTAACTATTGGTTAGAGGCTTTTTAAAAATACATGCACAGTAATTACACAGTGAATACTTAGCATCATAGCAAGATAAATGCCTGCTTAAAGCCCATGCATAGTGCATAATTTTGCATTTAGCAGACCTGAAAAAGAAAATGCAACAGACCAAATTATATTACAAATACATTACTTTAACCTTCTGTATAGAAAGTAATTTAAAGACTGACAGAAGCTTATCTGATATGACACTATCATGGTAATAAAGTACTAATATGAATCCTCTTTATGTTTGAGGGTGTAAAGAACAAAGGTGCTTCTGACATAGTGGTAGTATCACTAAGAATTCAGGAATGATACACTAGGACCGTGATGGCGAACCTATGGCACGCATGACACGTGGCACGCAAAGCCATTTGTGCCGGCAAGAGAGCTGCAGGCAAACTTACTGCGCATGTGTGTGCCTTCCAGCTGATTTTTGGCCAGTTTGAGGCCTTTTTTGGCTTCCCAAAGGTTTGAGGAAGGCTTCTGCCGGCTTCTACAAGCTTTGTAGGCCGAAATCTAGCCCCATTT